GTCATGTCAGTTGTTATTTTCAGTAACAACTGAAAATAAAATAAATAAATAATAACAACAAAGGTCAATCAAATGGACCAATACAGCAAGGCAGGGATGGTCCACTTGGTAAAGTAATTCCGTTGGGCTTCTCTCTTTGCCTTCAGACAATAATTCTGATGGCAAGAGAACCAAACAGGTCAGGCGGCAAAAAAAAAAAAAAAAGGGAGTTTTTCCTTCCCAATGTTGCCAAAGTGCTTGCTCATTGGGGGTCATTTGGTTGTTGGGTTTTTCTCTGTATGTATTATTGTAGGTTCTACCTTACAATATAAAGTGACTTGAGGTGACTGTTGTTGCGATTTGGGGCTATATAAATAAAATTGAATTGAATTGAAAACTATCGGCAAGGTGGTCAAGTGCTGTCCAGGGCCAGACGGTCATGTGTGAATATCAAGGGACAGACATATCTTCGGCCTGTTGCCAGATTAGTCAGACTCTCAGCTTGGGAGGATGATGAGGACTGTAAATCCAATGATGTTTAGACTTTTGGTTGAAGAGAAAATTTACTACTTAAATTTGGGGGCAGGTGTGTCAGAAAGTCTCCTTATATTTCAGTTGGATCGCTATAAGTGTGGTGGTAATTTCTGCCGATAAGTTCCATTTTGTTCTCACTGTTTGCTACGGTGAGCACGGGTTGTACTTTGACATTGGTTACATCCTTAAGGGGGTTTATGCTAGGAGATTGATTGAGATCGGTAGAGGCATGTGACTTACCTCTGTAGCTTTTTTTGCGGGTTGGATCTGTGCACCCCAGTTGGGTTATTTAGCCACTAGAGGATGCTGAAGACCATGTAATTCATTGATATGCAGATATTCTTGTTTCCTGCCTCTTCAAAATGGTATTGTGAGACTTCCTTACCTCAGAGCATTCAGCTGATTATTTGTGTTGCAGTTCATTATTGGGGTGTGATGTTGGGAAGTGATGATTGTTATATTTGACGAGTGATAATTGTTTCTATTTGTTTATTGTTATTTAGAACCACATGCACGTCCGCCCCTCCCACACTTGTTAAGTATGCCTACTGCTGTACTGCTGAGCTGCTGTTAGCTTCCATTAAAGTATATCCGGACATCACTCTGTGTTCCCAATTCTCTGACCGGAGTTTAAGTCCTGCGGGAGCTCTCATCCCAGAATCCCAGAGATAACTCTCTAACAAGCAGTGTCCAAACGTTCTTTTTTTTTAAAAAAAAAACTATACGTACTTTGGGAACCACTGCCTTAGGCAGTATCATTAGAAGGCATTACACACATTTTCACTGCTATGCAGATGACACACAACTTTATCTATCCATGAAGCCAGATAACACACACCAATTAGTTAAAATGCAGGAATGTCTTAGAGACATAAAGACCTTGATTAGAATTTGACTTTATTTATTTAAAAGAGACAGCGCATATTAGTGAACATATACCAATGTAAGTATGCCAGAGTTAGCCAAAAAGGTACTTTTCATGTGTAGTCTCTGGCAAGTCAGACAAAAATTATGAAAAAGGAATTTAGCACACCATAAGATAATGTACAACAACCCAGTACAGACAACAAATACATAAATTTCATAGTACAATAAAACACAAAACAACAAATAAATACAAAATATACAACATTAAAGATAACACATATTAATATAAAACTAGTGATCATAAATCTGAGTCTTCTTTAGCGATCGTTTGAGATGAGGGTCTGCAGACCCAAAGCCACAACTAAATCAGAGGACAAGTTTCTGAGAGTTGCCTGATAGGCGGCTCACAGGACAACAGCTTCAAGCACAGATTAATAGATTAATAGTGGTCGTAGTAAGCAAGTCTCAGTTTCAACTGTGAAGAGAAGACTTTGAGCTGCAGGTTTGACAGGACGAGTTGGAGCAAGAAAGCCGTTGCTAAAGTGTCAGAATAAGACTAAGAGGTTTGCCTGGTCATGAAATACCGCCATTGGACTACTGAAGACTGAAAGAAGGTATTATGGACTCATGAATCAAAATTTGACATATTTGGTTCATTACGCAGGATCTTTGGCTGTCGAGTCAGTGAAAGGATGGTTCCACAGTGTGTGGCATCAACTGTCAAAGATGGAGGAAGAAGTGTGATGGTCTGCAGCTGTTTTGCTGAATCCAGGGTTGGTGACTTACAGTGAGAAGTACCCTGAACAAAAACAGCTACCACATCATTCTGCAGGGCCATGCAATACCCTCTGGTATGCACCTAGCTGATCAGAGGTTCATCCTACAGCAAGATAATCACCCAAAACATGAGTCCAAGCTATACAAGAACTACCTCAGGAAAATAGAACAAGATGATAAGCTTGAAAACATGGCATGGCCAGCACAGTCTCCAGACTTAAACCCCATTGAGCTGGTTTGGGATGAACTGAACAGAAGAGTGAAGTTTATTGATTAAAGTAAAATAAAAGTGCCCCACATTTATGGGAACTGCTGCAACAACTTCAACTGCATATTTGTACTGTGCTTTCATTTGAGAGTGCAATGAGATATTAAAATGCACAATTTTCAATAAGAAAAATTGGGGTGTTCTAAATCGTTTGACCGGTAGTGTATATAAACAAAATAAAGGTAATTATATATAACCAATGAAGAAATATACAATTATTGAGACCCCTGAGAATGTGTTACACCGTTAAAACTTAGACTCTTTACATTAAGAAATTACACTGTGTTTTTATCTGCTTGAGCAGAGCAGATAATTAAATCCCATACACAATTTTGGCATCCTGAATTTCTGTATTTTTATGTTCACATGAAGTTATAAGTTAATCTGTACTGGAGCTGTGATTGATTTCCAAAATGGTTGAGTTAAATTTAATGAAAATCTATCCAATGTTTCTTGACTTTCAGTCTGAGCAGAAGTGGTGGACACACGCAAGTCTAGCCTTGCTTTTACAATAGCTGAAAGTGTATATGCCTCATAAAATATGACAGTTATCATCACTTTTGTTTATAAGTTCTTGTATCAGTTCACTTATTTCTTTGTCATGTTTTTCCTCGAGGGCCTCCTCTTCCTCTTGATCTTCCACAGACTTCATCTCACGTTCATGCTTTTTCAATAGCTTGCGGACTTTTTTTGTGTTTGCCCTCTTTTTGGTGAAACATCTCACTAAGTTATATATCTCTTCTTTGTGTTTTTTCATTTTTTCTTCTTTTTGAGCTTTTAGTGCTCTTAAGATGTCATATTGTTCATCTTCGGCTGTGCACTCCTTACACTCTAACTCTTTCATGCATTTCTCCCTGAATTCATTGTATTCTTCTGCTTGTTTTCTGGCTTTTTCTTCAAATGTTTCCGTCACTTCCATCAGTTTTTTCTCATAGTTTTCCTGTAGTTCCTTTTTCTCTTTTTCCCCCTTTTCTGTTAACAGGAAATCCTTTTCTTTTACTTCTTTCTCAAGAACTTCTTTTTCCTGCTCATATTCTTTCAATTTGCTCATAATTTTCTGCTCCTCCTGTTGCCTCAGTTCATTTTCCTGCTCTCTTTTCTGCCACCATTCTTTTTGTTCATTCTCCCATGCCTCCTGTTTCTCTTTCATTTCTGCTCTGCTCTGCTCCAGTTGTCTGTCAATGATTTGCTTTGATTCCAGTTCGTTTTTCATTTTTACTTCTAAATCTAAAAACCTTTGTTCCCAATCCCTACGCTGTGATTCTTCCTCTTCTTTCCTTTCTCTGTCTTCTTCATCTCTTAATTCTTGTTCTCTCTTTCTGTTGTTAAGCCTTTTCTTCAATTTTTTAAGCTCTTTGTCTCTTTGTTTTCTTTCTTGTTCAATTTCTGTTTTCTGTTCTTCTATTTTGTTCTTCATTTCTTGCATTTCCTCCTCATGTTTTCTTTTAAGGTCTTCCATCTCTCTGTTTATTTCTTCCTCCTTCTTTTTCAGAATTGTATCCCTCTCTTTCTGGATCGCAGCTTCAGCTTCTTGCAGCATTTTATTGGTGAAGCAGCTTTCACCATTTTTTTTGACCATGTCATCAATCTTTGTTATCAGCTCAGTGACTTGTTCCCGGTTTTGTTCATCAAGGTTATCAAACATATGGAATCTTTCGCCACACTCACCAATCAGCTTCTTAAAGGAATCATCAGATTTTTCAATGTAATCATGAATGGACTGCCCCTCACGTTCCAGTGAATCTCCTCCAGTGAAAAGAATGATGGTGAATTTTTCTGAATTCTTCCCAAAGCCTTCCTTGATAAGTTTTAATGCTTCTTTCTCTTCTGGTGTGATTCTTCCAGCCTTTAAAACCAGCAGGAAGACATGTGGTCCTGGAGCCAGAAGACTGAAACATTTCACCATCTCCTCATTGATCTCTTCATGTGACAAACTGTTATCAAACAGTCCAGGAGTGTCGACCACAAAAACAGGACGACCGTCTACTTCACCACATGCTTTCTGACAACGTTTGGTGACAGATTTGGGGTTATTCTTAGCTTTGAACGCTCTTGTTCCTAGAATGGTGTTTCCAGAAGAGCTCTTTCCACTGCCAGTCTTACCTAGCAAGACAATTCTGAGAGGCTCTGAGCTCTGCTTCTCTTCATTACCTGTGAAGTAACAACACATTAGTTAAATGGCAGGACAGTCCAATAGATAATAAGGTGCTGAAAGGACAATATATTGTAGATGTTATTACTTTCTGCCTTTGTCTCTAAAGTTGAATTTAACAGTCAGTGCAAGGGCTTAATGGGAGCCTCATGCTGGGTTTTTTTTTTTAAATCTAATTTTGATTCAATTCCACAAGCAGCACCAAAAAAATGAAGAAGGAACACGGGAAATACAAGGAAGGAGGAATCCACAAGCAGTTTACACAATTCGCACTTAACTTTGCTCTTAATGTAATTATTAAAAAAACAAACAACAGCAAAATGTCAAACATAAAACAAGATTATTGATTAATGACTAGAAAGACGAAGAAGGATTTCAGGGAACCTGAGGAAGGTAAAAGAAAATAAAACCTGTTATTTTATGACCTGAATCTGCTACAGATAAACTTTGTGACTCTCCACATCAAAATCCATGAAAATCTTGTGATCTTATAATTAAATTCTGTCACAGTCACTTAGCGCCTAGTACACTATCTTTATATTCATTTCAAGCTTTTACTGGATTTTTCCGGCCATGCATCTTTCCACCTTTTAATCTCCACTTCAAAACAGGTTGCCTCATCCAAAGACTTAATTTTCATGGTCCAGCACTCTGTTTGCTGTTTTGGGTTCTCCTTTCTCTCTAGGCTGGGCTGAGGAGGGGAAAATCTGCCTGTGGGCGGCCACATCTGTTCCTGATTGTCTTCATCTTCTGCCAGTACTTACAAACCAACTCCAATGATCACTCCACACCAATCTGGCTCTTCAATCTTAAGCACTTGTGTCTTCATTCAAGAATAATTGCCCACACATGAAAGTGTCCATGTGTTCCCTATGACACAACTCACCAGTGAAAAACAGAGCAGTGGCTCACTTTCAAGTACCTCTTCTGAACCAGCCAAGTTCAGAGCCTTCAATATTAAGTACAGAATTTATAGTGTTATACAGAACACGAGGGCAATGTGAGCTAGCGGCAATAAGTTGAGAGAAGTAGGAGTGTTTGGCGGCCTTTACTACTCTCTGATAAGCTTTCCAGCTAGCTTTGAGGGCTTCCAGAGAGACATACAGCCTATCTTTTTTCCACCGCCTTTCACATCTCCTACATTATTTTCTAATCGCTCGGGTAAGATCAGTTAACCAGGGACTAGCCTTGGGTTTGCACTCTGTGACTCTTAAAGGAGCAACAACATCGAGGACAAATTTATAAGCAGAATCAAAATAAGAAAGTAAATCATCCGAGGTGGACAACTCAGAAGGATAGGAGAGGACTTGATCAAACAGTAAGGAAAAAAAACGCTCAGCAGAATTTGAGACAAAAGCGCGATAATAACGAACAGGAGCATCCTGTTTAACAATAGAATTAAGAAGAAGAGTATCACATAAAATAGGCATATGGTCAGAGAATACAGGATCCTCAATACATACATTACAAATAGTATAGACCATACGACAAAACCAAGTCCAATGTGTGACCACATTTTTGAGTGGCACCTTTGACAGATTGAACAAAATTAAAAGAGTTCATTAAGTCCAGAAAGTCCTTGGGCAAGGGCTTCCCAGGGCAGCAAACATGTATATTAAAATCACCAAGCAGGAGGATCTGATCATAGCATGAAGCACAGTTGGCAAGAAACTCTAAAAACTCAGCTAAGGTCTCCTTATTATATTTAGGGGGCCGATAAACAATCGCACACAGCAACGAGGGCAAGTGGCCCAGTTTACACAAACAGAGTTTGAAGCTGGTGCAGGGAGTCAATGGGGATAGCTGCTTAAAGTCAAAATCTATCTTAAAAACAACAGCTAGTCTTCCTCTACGACCAGAGACTCTTGGAACAGTGGATAAACCTATTTCCAATAATGTCTGGCGGTCATAAGACAATGTTGGGCTGACATGTTGCACAAAGTTAGCTAAAAACAATAAAATAAAACAAATAGAAGAGAGCGACAGACAGTATGCAAAAATGGTGGGGTATGTACGACTAGCTCACCGACACAACATTAGGGTTCCCCCAAAAGTGTCACGGCTGGGGCGGCAGTCGTGTGGAGGTGAGGAAGGAGGATCCAAAAGCAGACAGTGGCGGAGGTGCAAGTGGGTTTTATTTACAGTGCACAAATAACCAAGGTGTGGGCAGAACTGAACATAAACCTAAACTGGAAAAGCTAATACAAAAGGAGGACATGGAGCGAGGAGCAGAGAGACGCGGAGAAACACGGAATAACATTAAATACACGGCAGATACACAAATGAACACAGACGACGCGACGAGAAGCACAGACACCAACTATAAATACACACACCAGGTAATCAGGAAATGGCACACAGGAGGGCAACACAGCTGGGAGGAATCAGGGCTGACGGGACAGGGGAAATGTAAACTGAACATACTCACATCAGACAGAGACCTTCACAATAAAACAGGAAACTCAGACACGAGGAACCAAACAAGACACAGAACTAAACAGACAGCTTCACAAACAGGCGGGGTGACACGATAGACAGACAGAGACACAGATACAGACTCAAAGGCAGACCGAATATAACACATAGAACTCAAACAATAATAATCCTCATCATCATAATAAACTAGAAAATGATAACAAACTAAAAGCGCTGGGTCACCGACCCAGGACCATGACACAAAGAGCGAAATGTTGGTATGGGGTCAAGCTCATATGAGTCCAGGAGGAACTGACTACTGTGTTCTGCTGCCTGAAGCCCTTGATGTGGGGGTGGGCAGAGCCCTGAGTTGAATGGTAGAGTCCCCGTACGAGTCTACAACCCACGCTCCTATAATCCATAGGTCCTGATCTGTTTGAGTCCCAACAGGGGAGCTGTTTTTTGAATTTTGATAGTTAGGGAGAGGTGTTGCCCCTTTCCTCTTACCAGGTCTGAGTGAAAAGGAGTTAAGTGAGAAAGTTGTGGTCCATGGGTCACACATTTTGTCTTGGGGAGTAAAAAGGATGAAAGGAAGCAGGATGGAGGAAACTAAATGCTGTGACGCACAAGAATGCTTTCCCTATACCCTAAATAAGAGATACTCTGACCACAGTAACTCAAGCTGAGTGGTTTTCCACTTTTGACCTAGCCAGTGGCTACTGGTAGATCCAGATGAACCGAAGCGTCAGGGAGAAGACTGCATTTACTGCCCTCCATTGGGTTATTTGTGTTTGATTTAATGTTTTTTCTTTATTTTTACTACTTTCTACATTGTAAACACATACTGACGAAATCAAGTATATAAAGGAAGATATATGGAATTATGTAGCAAAGGAAAAATTGATAAATAACTCCTCAAAGTAGCCACCCTTTGCTTTGTTGACAGCGCTGCAAACCCTTGGCCTTCTCTCAGTGAGCTTCATGATGTAGTCACCTAAAATGGTTTCACTTCACAGGTGTGACTTATCAGGGTTCATTTGTGGAATTTCTTGCCTTCTTAATGGGACTGTCATTTGTGTTGTGCAGAAGTCAGGTTGGTACACAGCTGACAGCCCTATTTGACAACTGTTAGAATTCATGTTATGGCAAGAACCAATCAGCTAAGGAAAGAGAAACAACAGTCCATGGTCATGAGAATTTGCACAATTAAGATAAAGGAACTGACCTCCCAGCCCACTCTTCCTTCAGTGGGCTTTCAGTCATTATCCAAATGTACTGTTTATAAGATTGGGGAAACCTGCAGTCAGCTGAGACTGAAGAAGTCATTTGGATGAGTGACGAAACGTTTCTCCCACTGAAAACGCTACGTTCAGATGAACAGAATCAACTTTTGGAGACTTACATACCTGGATGATTGAGCATGCATCAAGAAGTCCATCATTACTTTAAGAACTGAAGGTCAGTCAGTCCGGGAAACTGTTAAAACTTTGAATGTGTTCCCAAGTGCAGTCACAAGAACCACCAAGCTCTACGAGAAAACTGGTTCACATGAGTACCGCCTCAGGAAAGGAAGACCTCCTCTTCATCAACTGCTCAGAGGACACTGTGTGAATCAGGCCTTTATGGGTCAAATAGCTGCTAAGAAACCACAACTAAGGAAAAGCATCAAGCAGAAAAGATTTTTTTGGGCCAAGAAACACTGGGAATGGACATTAGACCAGTGGAAATCTGTTCTTTGGTCTGATGAGTCCAGATTTGAGATCTTTGGTTTCTCCCGCCTTGTCTTTGTGCAAGAGTTTTATTTATACAATCACCAGGTGCAGAATATATACAGTGGGGGAAATTCAGGGTTCCTAGGGTCCAGGGGAGAAATCCGGGAAGGGGAAACTCTCTCTCTCTCTTCTTCACACACATCCACACAGCAGGTAGGTTACGGGTCCGGGTAAAGTATCCACAAGAGAGATCGGTTACGCGAAAAACAAAAACCTCTCTGAGGCTAGAGGCTCACTAACGTGTCTCGCACAATCAACCAGGGATGAGACTGTCTGCGTCCAGGTCTTAAATGGCAAACACATAATGGCAGCCTGATGGGCAACAGGTGTGTGGGCCAAGGGTGGGAGCCCGGAGTGAGCTCCACCCAGGCGGGGAGGCGAGAGAAAGAGAGAGTAAACAAAAACACATGTAGCCTTGCGGGGCTGGCAGGGCAGACACGGGGACCATGACATGGCTACCACAGCATCCTGCAGTGACCCCAAACACACCTCCAGGCTGTGTAAGGGATGTTTGACCAAGAAGGGGAGTGATGGAGTACTGCCCCAGATGGCCTGGTGTCCACACTCACCTGACCTAAACCCAATCAAGATGGTTTGGGATGAGATGGACCGCAGAGTGAAGGCAAAAGGGCCAACAAGTGCTCAGCATCTCTAGGAACTCCTTCAAGACTGTTGGAAAAGTGAAGCTCATGGAGAGAAAGGGCGGATAGAAGAATCTAAAATATTAAACATGTTTTGAGTTATTTCACACTTTTTTGTTTACTACATAAGTCCATGTGTGTTCATTCATAGTTTTGATGCCTTCAGTGAGAATCTACAATGTAAATAGTCATGAAATAGACTGTGGATAGAAGTGGTGGAAATGAGATTTCTCCAAAGATTGGCTGGCCTCTCCTTTAGTGATAATGTGAGGAGTTTAGCTATTCAGGAGGGGATCAGAGTAGATCCACTACTCCACATCAAAAGTTGACTTCAGGTGGTTCAGGCATCTGACAAGGATGCCTCCTGGGTGAGGTGTTCTGGGCATGTCCCTGCAGCAGGAGACCCATGGGCAGACCCAGTACATGCTGGAGAAATTATATCTCTCAGCTGGCCTGGGAATGCCTTGGTGCTCCCCCAAATAGGCTAGAAGAGGTGGCCGGGGAGAGGGAGGTCTGGATTTCTCTGCTTAGGCTGCTACCTCCATGACCCAAAACCGTATAAGCGGAAGAAAATGTATGCGTTGTCAATACTTTTAGGTGCTTTAATCTATTATTGTTGGTATGAATGAATATAGTGTTAATCTTTGTTTCTCGATTTATACTTACAATTATCGATGTTTTTTTTCAGTGTCAGAAGTTCAGCTTGTTGCATGTTGATGCATTTTGCTTGCTCTCTGATTTTTTCTATTTGAGCATGTGCAAATGTCTTTGTTGTATAGCAATATGATCTGGCCACGGTGTGTCTCATTTGATCCATATCATGAAAAAACTGGGTGATCTGCTGTTTGTTATTGATGTTGAGAACAACTGATCTTCCTCCACAGCTCTCACAGAGCTTCTGGATGTCCTTGTTTTCCTTTAGAAAGTTAACAGCAAGATCTGTCGGATCTGAGTCCACAGTGAACAGAATCATGGTGAAGTCATTGACTCGAGAGCTGAATGTGTTTTGGATGGTCTCTAACTCTCCCTTGTCTTCATCAGTGAGGGGAGCCACAGGTAGGACCAGGATGAAGGCATGAACACCCTCAGGATCACAGAGGGAGATACACCTGAGTGATTCCTCCATCACTGCCTCCTGAGGTTTTCCATACAAGGCAGGCAGCTCCACCAGGGAAAGCCAACGTCCACACACCTCTCCCTGATGTTTAACACACTCTGATGAGTTGGAGACTGAATGAAGCTCAGTCTGACCTAAAATGGCCTTGGCTGCTGAAGTCTTCCCTGCTCCTCTCCTCCCACACAGAACCAGGTTTAAATTTTGTATCTTGTGTTCAGACATTGACTTTGTGGTCTCTTTAATGACTTTGAGGAATTTTCCTTTGAGGATATTGTGCATGTTCTCAATCTTCTCCATTAATTTTTCATGATCATTTTCAATCATGTTGTAGTGTCTGCCTTCACAATCTGCAAGGAGTGATGTAACAGAATAACTTGTTTCCTCTTTATCCGTGATGATGACCATGGAGTGTTTAAAGGCATCCTGACCAAACAAACTCAGGATGGACGTCAGAGTTTGTCTGTTCTTCTCAGTGAAATCAGAAGGTTTCACTAACAGCAGCAGAACATTTGGGCCAGGACGACAGAGACTCACACGGCTCTTAATTTCCTTTCTCACTGTACTGAAAGACTGATCCAACATGTCTTGAGTTTGCACTACTGTTAATTGTTTTCCTCTCCACTCTCCTTGGACAACTTTGTCGTTTTGAGTTAAACTTGAATAACAAGAAGTTTTTTTCTTAACAATAAAGTTACAGAGTGCCATCTTCTTCTCTGGGTTTGTTCCAAACAACATAATTTTAAGTCCTTGCCCTGCAAAGAAACAAAGATGCAAACACTACTATTACAAGTGTTTCAGACCTTGTCATTCATACATTCCTTCCTTGATTCGTGCTCAGACACAATTTTAAAACAGATTAATATTAAATTTAACTGTGTGTCAAAACCATTGAACATTTTGGTGAAGTATGCAGAATTGCTTTAGGCCTTGATAGTTTTTACATTTTGGGAATTTCTAAATATATCTTTGACAGTTAAATCCTGTAGTTGAAGGATTACGTTAAGTAGAAAATAAATAAATGGATGCATACATGAATTTCAAGAGTAAAGGTTGTTTTTTACTTAGTTTACTCAACATGGACTACATTGGTAAAAACATATAAACATGAATTAAAAGTTTTTTCCCTCCCTTAAATATAAACAGATCTTATGTCACTCAGATGAACTCAGATTGCTTTGCTTTCCTGCATGAAACTGTATGGATTCTCTATTATTATTTTTTATCAATTTATTCAGTATCTTGTTTTTTGCATGTCTGTTGTCTGTGTTTGTACTTAAAATGTGTATTTAAGGATGAATGAGAGATCTCGTACTGTAGACCAAATCTGCCAACATGCAAATAAGGTAACCTGAACCTGACTTTAACCATAGAAAGAACAGCTCAGAAACTATGCTGATTTTTTTTTTTCTTTTGGTGGATGGTGGATTGAGAACACTTTTTAGAAAGTGTCCTAACATTCTGTTAAAAAAATCTGAAGAAGTTCCTAAAAGGTTGATTCTGTTTATCTGGGCGTAGGTTTTCAGTGGGAGAAACGTTTTGTCACTCATCCAAGTGACTTCTTCAGGCTCAGCTGACTGCAGGTTTCCCCAACCTTATAAACAGTACATTTGCACAATGACTGAAACCAGCCCACTGAAGAAACAATGGGCTGTGAGGTCAGTTCCTTTTTAGATGAACAGAATCAACCTTTTGGGATCTACTTACCTGGATGATTGAGCATGCATCAAGACATCTATAGAAATTGACTTTTGCATCATCATAAAAATATATTTTTCTTCACTTACCAACAGACTGATCATAATCCAGATTATCAGGAACTGCTTTCCGTTGTTGAGTGCTAGTGTGATGACAAATCACATGTTTTCTATTGTTCCTTTCTAGAATCTGGTTTACACTTTTCAGAAACTCCAGAATATCAAGTTGTTTGAACTTCAGTGACATGTTTCCACATTTTCTGATCATTTGTCGTAAGGGTGCATCATAATTATAAATGTTCTCTTGTAATGAAAATCCCTTTGTGGGTGGTGATACAAAAACCAGTGAATGATCAAAAGATTGATCACTGAAGAGCTGAAGGACTTGACAGAGCTTCATTTTTTGATACTCTATGAAGTTTTCAGGCTGTAGAACCAGCAGGAACACATGTGGTCCAGGATGAGAAAGCCTCACACAGGTTTCTACATGTTCCTTTAATTTGTCTTCTGAGATGTTTGGGTGAAGCAGATCAGGTGTATTGATGAGAACTATTTTTTCCCCTTGAATCTTTCCACTGACTTTCACACAGCACTCCAGTTCTTCAGCTGCATTTAACTTTGTGTCTGTAAGTAAGAAGTTCCCCACTGAGCTCCTCTCAGACAAGCTGTTCCCCAATAGAACCACTCTGAGCTCAGACACTGAAATGACAACAAAGGCAAGAAGTACAAAGATAAAGTTTAACTCTTTGCAAATTTATACTATATAAAACTGTACAAGGATCATTTTATAAAAAAAAATCTGTCAGTGCCTCCCACCACATCTTTTTATTTATTTTCAATCAGCTTAATGTCTCTGATGTAGAGGAACAGAAACAAACATTAGTCCTCCCACACAGAACCAAGATTAAATTTTGTATCTTGTGTTCAGACATTGACTTTGTGGTCTCTTTAATGACTGTGAGGAATTTTCCTTTGAGGATATTGTGCATGTTCTCAATCTTTACCATTAATTGTTCGCGATCATTTTCAATCATGTGCCCTGGATGTTTGATCTGTTTTCTGATAATTTACTGGTGAAAACTTTAAAATGTTGATTAACAACATAGTGGTAGCACTTTCTATTACATCTTGGTAATACAGTGGTAATAGTAGGGTATCCATACAATATTGATGGTAAATAAGGTTAGCATGTTTTTAAAGGGTAAGAACATAATTATGTGGTAATGTCTATGTCATTACAACTCAGTTAACTGTGGTAGTTTCTGTGTAATAAGCAGGAAACAGAGCTTCAAAATTGTCTGTTTCTATTTAATAGCCTATTAAAGCAAATTTTAAAAGTTTCTTATTAAGGTCGTCTACACTCTCTGTTAATCTAATGTTTAACTTTAAATGTAATTATTAGTATATTACATAAAGGTTTACACTTCATTCCAGATTTTCTGATTCTTATTTGCTTATTTCTGATGCTTATTCAGCTATCATTAGCTTGGTATTAAATTCAAGCTTATTACACAAAAACTGTCACAGGTGTTTCGTGGCAATAAACTTTTATTTTTTTTAATAAAAGCTTTTATTTTGTTTATTTTAAACATTTATTGTTAAGTTTGCTTAAAAACAGGCAGTTTTGCATTTTGCAGCTTAATTTCTTGATTATTACACAGAAACTACCACAGGTAACTGAGTGGTAATAACTTTATACCACATTAAATACCACATTATTACATTTTCTTTCTGCCACTTTCTTTCTGCCTTGTTACCTACCATTTTACCTACTTTATTACTGAACTGTATTTCCATATCATTACCCCCAGTTTTGGGGTCCAGTTATAGAAATTTCAGTGTAATATTACTCAACTGTAACCACTGCTGCTACCATGATATTACTTGGATATTAGGTGGTTATCACTTTGGTAATTGAGTGGTAATAACTCAAAAATTACCATATTATTATGTACTCATTTCTGCCTCGTTACCTTCCAATGACCAGTTTATTGCCAAACTGTAACAGAAAGTGCTACCAATTTTACTTATCTTTATCTATCCTGCCCTAATGTGTTCCACCTTAAAGTGCACAGTCATAGGTTGCATCAAACACAATGTGCTCTTCAAAGACTCACTGTAGGGTGGCAGTAATGCATTGCTGCCCCTGCGACTTCTGGGAACAGTGTCTTCTGATACTGAAAGGATAAAAAAATCATAAAATTAATAATAATAATAATAATAATAATAATAATAATAATAATAATAATAATAATAATAATAATAATAATTGTGTTGTGTTTATTATGTTAATGTTTATTTATTATTATTATATTTATAATTTATAATTTCTGATTTCTACTTGTTCCATTTGTTCTGGTCTTTAAGGAGGAACTATGAAACACTTAAATTATTGTGAAAAACTGCTTGTAGAAGAAAGTAACTTACAGGTATAGCATGCAGTGTGACAAAGTGTGGCTGGACTCACCAAATGCTGCTGCCATACTGTCACTGTCATTCAGCTGCAACTCACTTACTGTTGGGTTAAAACAGTGAAGAATAAAACATATAATTAAACGTATTTATTCTGGATTTGTTTATATGTCTGAACTATTTTAAACTTCTGATCTGTAAGGTTTAAGCAGTGTGCACAAACCTGCACGTTTTGTACATAACTTATAAATCTTTAAAATTTTCAAAAAAATAACAAACAAAATCTCTGTATGGCTGGGCGTCTTTCAAATCTTCAAAATCTGTTTTACTTCAGATCACACCCATTATTACTGATAAGTGTGCCTCAGTTTGGTCAGATGTGTACATAACTGCATCTGTAACTACACCCATTAGTAATCTGTCCAAAGTGTCCTGAAGTGCTCCTGCATGCCTTTGTAGCAAAGGGAAAAGTTAAACCACCATTACTGTAGACGTTTTAAAGTCAAACCCTAATATCATTACCATGTTACCTTCATGACCACTGAAGTCACTGATTGAGGTTTGTTTAAACTTAACAGGTAACAGGAGAGAGTGTACCAGCAGTGGCTTGGATTTTAATAAAGAAATATGAGTACAGAAAAAGTGTTTCATTTCTATGCGGTTTGAATTTCTAATCTAATCTAAAGTCATTACACTATCTGCAGGTCAAAGGTTGGATTTATAAATGTGACTGTATCTAAAAGATAAAATAGATCATTTATCAGTGTGTTGCAAATAGTATTTACAGAACTTGCAGATATGTATATGTAGACTCAAGGAGACTAAAGCAACTGAGCCCATTTTAGATTCTAGAAGCCATTTGATCTCTTATTAATGAACAGTGATGGGAATAACGGCGTTACTAACGGCGTTACTTTTTTCAGTAACGAGTAATCTAACTAATTACTATTTCTATTGTTACAACGCCGTTACAGTTACTAACAAGAAAATGCGGTCCGTTACTATTTTTCAACAAACAGACGGTTGAAGCTGTGTTCAGCTTACCGCATCTTATATCAGTTTCACGGAAGTAGCTGTAAGTAATCTGGACGCTACAGCTTTAAGCAGCTGCGCGCGCTCCCGCGAATAGTATTCACGATCACTTTCTAGCACAACACCTGGAGCTAAGGGGGCAAATCAATTGCATGAGTGCTGCTGTTTGACTGAGGAAGAATAAAGTAGTCGTGGTAAGCCAATCACATGACCACTTAAAGACAAAGCAACAAGGTGAAATATACCAGTTTTTAAATTGTGTTGATAGGCCACTAAAACCAGAGTCATGATAAACAATATAGATGCGCTGTTTTTTCCTCAATAGTTTCGTCACGTTTACTGTCTAAGGACAGCGCAGCAAGCACTCTCTGCTTATGAGCAAAAAAAACAACAAAAAAAAACAAAAAACAGGGGAACTTACACTTGCCAAAGCAGTGCGCATATGCCAAATAAGTGAGCTCACAGATCAACATAGCAAAGCCCTTTCTACACCAAAGCATATTACATCTGCTAGTGTGGACACTGTACAGATTAAACATGGCAAGTTCAAAAGGAAAACAAATGAACCCCTCACGAACATTCAAAATTGCAGAAACTGTGGAGGTTCACATCCAGCCAAACGGAACTGTCATGGCTGGGGCAGCAGTCATATGGAGATGAGAAGGAGGATCCAAATAGCAGACAGTGGCGGAGGTGCGAGTGAGTTTTATTTACAGTGAGCAATAACCTAGATGCGGGCAGAACTGAAGATAAACCTAAACTGGGAAAAACTAACAAACAAACCTGAAAACATAAGGACAGCGGGAGATACACAGAGATGACAGATGAAGAAGGCTGGGCAGAGAGACGTGGAGAAACACTGATTGACACGGAGTAACACAGACGACGCGACGAGGAGCACAGGCAGACACACACTATAAATACACCGGGGTAAAGAGGGAATGACACACAGGAGGGGAGCACAGCTGAACCTAATTCACAAGACGAGACACAGACCTACAAAGTAAAACAAGAACCAAACGAGAACCAAACCTAAAGAATTAATACAAAATCAGAATAAACTAGAAGATAATAACAATAAACTCAAAGTGCTGGGTCACAGACCCAAGATCATGACAGGAACAATGTCCTGCTTTCGGACAACAGTGTCACATCTACAAAAAATACAATAATTACAAAAAACAATGCAGATCAGCACAAGCACATCAAAGAGGCAAACAACTGAACCAAATTTCAGAGGATACTGACCCAGACAGTGATGAGACATTTTGCACTGAGCACCTAACAATGGGAACAATCACAAAAAAGAAGGATACTGCAGTTTTTGATAAGGCCCTCAAACTAAAGGTAGACACTGGGGCAAAGTGCAACATAATCTCATTAGACACTTACAGAAACATCAGCAACAACGAAACCCTAAGCAAGTCACAAAAACAGGTAAATCTCGTTGCTTTCGGAGGCCCGAAAATTAAGTCCACAGGCACAGTTACTCTCAAGTGCAAGCTAGCTGGACAGTCATATGACCTGCAATTTCAAGTTGTAAAACACGATGTGCAATCCATTATCGGACTAAAGGACAGCGTGCAAATGAAGCTGGTTAGTTTCAGCAAGGAAGTCTACCATGTTGACACAGATCAGGATGAGACACTAGCACAGAAAGTGTTTCACGAATACAGAGACCTGTTTAAAGATAAGGTCGGCGACTTACCTGTAACCTACTCAATGAAACTCACTCCAAACAGGCCTTGGTCGAGACACACAAAAAAATACAGATGATGTTTGTATCTGCATTGATCCAAGGGATCTGAACAAAGCACTAACCTGCATGTTACAAGTTTTACGACTACATCTACAGAAAGCCAGTGGTGATTGAAACTGACCACCAGCCTTTGGTCACAATCCAAAACAAACCTTTCCACACAGTTCCGGCACGGCTACAGCTTATGATGCTACAATTACAAAAGTTCAACTTGACTCTTGTATACAAGAAAGGCAAACAACTTTACATCGCAGACATACTCTCTCACACATCAACGCTGGATGAGCAGCCTCTAAAGGAAGAGGGGCGTGACTTTGAGGTAATGTCACTTCTGCTCATCTCACCAAGACGCCTACAAGAGCTTGCCGAACACACCTTGAAGGACGCTACTCTACAGACACTTGCTCGTTACGTCCAGCAGGGGTGGCCAAAACAAGTGAGTAGCGTACCTATAGAAATCAAACCATTCTTCAGCTACCACGATGAACTAATCATTGACAATAATGTCATTATGAAAGGCAACAGAGCCATCGTTCCAGCATCACTACATGAAACCTATCATCACAGCCACAGACATATTCGAATGGGACAACCGCCACTACCTTGTGTAAGCCATTTACCAATTACCATGTTACATCTACGCAACACGCCACAAGACAACATTCTTGGCTCACCAGCACAGAGGCTGTTATCAAGGCGAACGAGGTCAACCCTTCCTGTGTGCAAAAAACCGTTAACACCAACAGCAAAAGTGACAACCACTATCAAAACTCAACTCACAAAAAAGCGTAGAATTCAAAAACAGCACTACGACAACTCCAGCAAGCTGCTCAGTCCATTGACACCAAACCAGGTGGTGAGATTACAAACACAGAGAGGACATGACAAGATTGGAGTTGTAAGTAAGGTATGTGCTGAACCTCGCTCTTGTGTAGTTGAGTCGGACGGAAAGGAATACAGGCGCAACAGACAACATCTTCTGCCTGTGAGCGAGCCTCAACCAGAAAAGCTCACTACAAAACAAAATGAACTGGACACATCTCGACAAGCGGATGAAGCTGAACCTGATAAAGCACAAACCAACAAACATGAAACGATTCAAGTTCAACTCGACCCACCACAACATGGCACAAAACATTCCGAAAAAGTGATCAAGGACAGAAAAACGCTGGGTAAAATGAACACACCTAAAAAATTTCAAGTACGCTCTGATGACAACTTGTACCGAACCAGATCTGGTAGAGTGTCTAAGCCAAACAGTAAATACCTGGATTAAAAGCACACTGATGCTGTATTTTCTGTTTTGAAATGTGTTTTACTCTCATGTTATGTTGTGAAGTTGCATTTATGACAATGATTACTGTGAATTTCATTTGACATATGAACCTTTATTTTTTGTGTAATCCATAACCTGATAAGTTCTTCCATAATAGTGGTGTTGTTTGATTTGGGTTTGCCTAAGAGGTCCAAAACTAAAAGAAAAAAAAAAAAAGAAAGAAAAGGGGGATGTAGATAACAGTAATGTTATGTTTGTCCATACTGCCTGCCGTTGCTGCTGTCACGGAGGTTTCCAGCAGATATCTCTGTGGTTCTAACTTGGCTATGTGTGCTTCCTGTTACCTGTGTACGAACGTTCATGTTGGCTGCTAATAAACACCTGACATACAGTTACAGCGGACTGATTATTATAAGTAAACCTAGAATGAAGGTTACAAATGATCTTATGACCTCTGACAGTGGACTCATCTCTGTGCTTGTCCTTCTTGACCTTAGTGCAGCGTTCGATACTGTCGACCATAATATCCTATTAGAGCGATTACGGCACGCTGTAGGTATTACAGGTGCTGCACTGCAGTGGTTTGTATCATATCTATCTAATAGACTCCAATTTGT